CAAGCACATCAAATAAATAAATAAACACACATATTATTTAAAATTTCATTTTTAATAAAAAAAACGTACATCTTTCATCTCTCTTCCAATACGCTTAATCCAGCTGCATTTGTGAATAATTAAGGAGTTAATTACAGTAATCCCTCTTACTTAATCATTAATGCAGCTTCAAGTTTTAGCACCTTGAATTGCGTTTGTTGCTTGATTTATACATCTACTATCTTTTGGTGCATTGTACTTAGTTTTCGGGACTAATTTTCTGGGTTTTTAAAATATAGATTTAATTTTAATAATATACACATTATATTTTTTTTCCTACTTTGACGCACAAATTTGGCGAAAGGTTAGTTTTTCTGGATTCCCATTTATAGTAGTGGGTTGTTGGAAGTTTTGTTGCTAGTTCTTTTTCTTCTTCAGTATAATTTTACTAATTTTGGGAGATAAGATCCAAATTGGCAACTGAGTTTTAAAGAATCTTTTAAGCTAATTGCAGAAAACAAAAAGAATAGGGTAAATTAAATTAATGTGGCGTGGAAGTTTCATATACTAGTAGTGGTAAATTAAAAGTTAGAGTTAGCACATTTAATGAGATGATAGTACAATTTTTGTTACATTATTGATCAAATATATATTATTTTTTATTCCCTATGAAATAAAAATTAAATTTTGATTGTCTTGTTGTGGAGTATGCAATTTTGCCAACATCTGGCAAATTAATACCAGAAATTCGAAGAAGTGCTGTAAATTATTTTCTGGGTTTTTGTTGTGTTTTTATGGGTTTTAATTAATTTTTCTTGGTTCATAATTTTGAGTACCTTTGAAAATAAAAATTCATTATTTTAGCAAATTTTGAGGTTATTATTTTCTGGATCTGGGTTAATTTATTGCTGAAGATTATTAATTAAAGTCGAGTAAAGTAGGGATTGGTAGTTGGGATTTTTGTGAGTAATTGTATTCATTTTTTTTAATTTTTTGAATTAGAAGTCACAGAATTCATAAGTTATAGTCACAAGAAAGGTGCTTAGAGTCCTGACCAATTGGGTTGTTTGCACAATCCAATTTTTAGGTCTTTAAAAGGGGAGAAATTGGAGAGAAAAAATAGATAGAAGTTAAATTATTTTTAGAAAGAGAAAGTTTAGAGAGAGAAAATGGGACACTCTGCTGCAGTTTGGGATTACAGGCCTGCTCATGAACTCACTTCTGACTGGAATGGAAATCCTTATGTTATTCTCAGAAATCCTCAAGGTGCTTCTGCAAGGGTAAAAATTTCATCTTTTTTAATTTTTCTACTTTATTTTTGTAATTTAATTATATTTTAATTTGGATTAATTTGTTTTTTGATATTGATTTTGATAGAATGAATTTCATTTGTGCCATTTTTTTGTTTTTTATTTATTGATGGAATTCATTTTTGTAATCTTGGTTGATGGTGATGTTTTAGTACAAAAATTCTTGTTGGATATTATTTTATAATATTGATTCTTACATTCACAAGACACAAGTTCAAACTAATTTTAAAATCAAATCAAGAGTTGTTTTAGCTTTAAGGAAAATCTTAGTTTTTGTTTGTTCTATTGAAAACGATTCTGTTTCATCTTTTTCTTTACCTCCATTTTTTTTATTTATAGTGTAAAAATAAAAATAAAATGGGTTATTGATTGGTTTGGTTTTCAATTTTACAGATCAGTTTGCATGGGGGACAAGTTATGTCATGGAAAAATGAACATGGGGAAGAACTCTTATTTACCAGCAGTAAGGTGAATGAATAACATTTGAATTATTTGATGCTTTGTTCTTCAGTATGATTTCTGTAAGTGTTTATTGCTGAGGACTTTTGGTGCAAACAATTCGATGTAACTCGTATAATTATATAATCAACGATATTAATTTATGCATCTAATTTGTGATTGTGAATTTTTGATCTGAAAGTGGTGGAATTGATTTACTTCACTATATAATCCAGCATGAATTTGATTATAAATCAATTTTTTTATCGTTCCATGTTTTGATCTTGAACATCATTTATCTATCGAATTTTTGGCCAGAGTTTTGGTGTAAACTAATGGATTTATACAATAAAATTTTTACTGAGTTTCTGTCTCTCTTATTGTCCCCCATTTGTGATTTGAAGTAAATTAAATCACTATCTCACCCTGCATCAATCCGTAAAAATCTGAACTTGTCCAAGTCTTAACATTTTTTTGATACTTTTTTTTTCTTTTTTTTAAAAAAAAAAAACATCTACATTCCTACTGTCTTTTTTAATAAAATTAAACGGTGAAAAAATGGCTGTAAAAACTATATTTATGAACTTCAATTGAAAGTTGAGTAAATTCTGAATCACACTTCATGTGTATCCTTCACATGGGTAATGAAAGTTCCAAGTTTTCAACTGTGAGCCCTCTCTAGTCAATAATTGACTCACTTCACTTTCTGGTGATAAATAGGCCGTCTTTAAGCCACCAAAAGCCATGAGAGGAGGAATTCCGCTTTGTTTCCCTCAGGTACATTGGTATTTCATCCATGATTATTTATAAGTTTTTAGTGTGTTGAGTCAGTTTCTGATTTAAATTTGAATGTCAATGAAGTTTGGGAATTGTGGATCTCTTGAGCAACATGGATTTGCCAGGAACAAAGTCTGGGCCATCGATAACAATCCCCCTCCTCTGCCACCGAATGATTCCAATGGGAAATCCTTTGTTGATTTGATTCTGAAACCATCTGCAGAGGATCTCAAATGCTGGCCACACAGGTACCATGACATTTTCACGAAACGTGCCTTATTTTTCTTCCTATACTTGTTGGACCTCATAATGCTCATATGCAACCCGTTTTTGTGTCACGAGTTATTGAGCTTTAGATGGTTACTAATCCGTTTTTTCCTTATTTTACTGATCTGCTTTCTGTATCTTAGTTGTCATTATCCGTCACGTGTCTCAGCCTCTCAGGACTTTTTTTATGCCACTTATTGATAATTAAATTAATTTGCTTATTGCAGTTTTGAGTATCGTTTGAGGGTTGCTCTTGGGGCTGACGGACGTTTGTCATTGATATCTCGCATAAGAAACGTGAATGGAAAGCCATTTACTTTCTCATTCGCCTACCACACATATATGTCAGTTTCTGATATCAGGTATCGAAACTTTGTTGCTTGTATTGATATTCTGACACGTTCTTAATTGTCTTGTGTTCTTTACAGAATTGTGACATCTTTTGTTTGCCTCATTACTTTCCTAGGCCCTGTTGGTTTCTTAACTTGCCATATGATCTCTTATTCAGTTATCCTGTCTTACTTTTCTCTGTAGTGAGGTCAGGATAGAAGGATTGGAAACACTAGACTACCTTGACAACCTCTTTCACAGAGAACGCTGTACTGAGCAAGGAGATGCTTTGACATTTGAATCTGAGGTACTATATGCGCTTATTTCATTAATCATATGCTAGCTTCTTTACCCAGATCTCTATTGATAAAATCTTGGGAAACTGTCTACTCTTCTTGACTAGTCCTTGTGCTGCCGAAGATTATATTGTGAACACATGACTGCATGGCACTCTTGCGATGATATTTTGCTCACTCCTTTCATACCCGCTTGTGGCTTTTTAGGTGGATCGTGTATATCTGAGTTGTCCAAACGCTATTGCTGTCATTGATCATGCAAAAAAGAGGACGTTTGTGATCCGAAAGGATGGCTTACCAGATGTTGGTAGGATGCACTGGCAGAAGAGCTTACATTATGTTGTATATTTTGCATAGAAAAAAACACTTGAGATTGAATTATTATCATTGTTTTGTAATGTTTTTTCTTTCTGAATTTTGCACAGTTGTATGGAATCCATGGGATAAAAAATCAAAGGCAATGACTGATTTTGGGGACGAAGAGTACAAGCACATGCTTTGTGTTGACGGGGCAGTGGTCGAGCATCCCATCACGCTGAAGCCTGGAGAAGAATGGACAGGCCGGCTAGAGATTGTAGTGGTGCCTTCAAGCTTCTGCAGTGATCATCTTGATCTGCATAAAGTGCGTTTTTAAGAAAGTTGAATTCCTATACATAAATAAGGCAGTTCCGAAGTGCAAATCGATGCAGCTCAATATAGTTATTCCTAGTTTACAGTAGTAGTTTAATACCGAAGTATTTCAGTTTATAATGTAAGGAATTTTGATGTCAGCAACAAAATAGATAGAAGAATAGTAAAATGCTGGAATCATTTTTTACTTCCAGCAGAAAATGTATGAAAAAATAGGATGACTTTGAGATTTACTATAATATTATATCTTACTTAATTTTATATTACTGCAGAAAACTATATTAATATATCCTGTTATTTTGGCAGGAAGCCTTCTCTAATTTTTATTAGAGCCAAGGTTCGATCTTGGGACCTGTGGGTTATGGGCCCACCACGCTTCCGCTGCGCCACTCTGATGTGGTTGTGTTTTGTCAAATTAAAATATTTAACCAGTCTTTCTTTGTTTTTTGGAAAGAAAAGTCAAATCAAGATCTGATATAATTGTTTATTAGGCTCAAATCTCATGATTACGGAGCTAATTATGTTGAGAATATTTAACAAATAACAACACACTATATATATAGATTATTCATTTAAACTTTATAAAAACGTACAACATAATCTTACGGGCGTTTGGTATGTGAGATTAAGGGGGAGGGAATGGGATTTTATATCCCAACGTAACATAACGGGTTCATCAAGCCTTTGATACTGAAGAGCAAAGCAAGCAAATACGAGTAGTTTTCAATGTGACAATTGTAATCCTACTTCCTAAAACCAGCAGCCAGCAGGTTATCGCTTTCGAGTTGATCTGCCTGTGCGTGATGGTACCCTCCATCTGATAAAAACTTATATAATCTCGTTTTATTTCAAAACCTTAAAGATTAAGTACACCATAAGCATGCGGGCGTACTTTTTTGGTGACCTCACCCAGTTTTTTGGGGAATAATATTTGTTTACCAACTTTTCAGAACAAGTGGAGTTTATCAGTTTGTTAAACAAAATAATACGAGGATTTAAGAATAATTTTAAAAACTAGTAAAAACTCACATGAATCATTAAAAGTATTAAACCAATGGAGAACAATTGAAACAATACTGTGCAGTTCTTTGAATTCACACCTTTCTAATTGCCTAGGAATTACACTAAAAGCCCAACCCATATCTCCAAGCCTCAACTATCTCCAGTGGTTCAGTTCTTGCCGCTCTTAAGCTATGAACCTCGTCGATACTGAAGTTGCTTAGTGTTCTCAAGCAATATCTGTCAACCAAATACAAATGATGCTTAGCTGGGTATATAACATGTATACACAAGCAACTATTCCTAGCATTAGCTGAATAGCTGTATATGACCATGTTTATATTTGAATAAGGCAATAAAGCTAGTAATGTTCTTACTTCACGGATGTAATTGGCAACTGCCTTGCAACCTTCTGTCGCAAGCTGCATTACAGTTTCAAATGTATCCAAGGGCAACTTTGAGTCCATCTGCATCAATTAAGCAAGAGGCAGAACACAATGTTTAAGAATTTGAACAGCACATCATTTAAACAACTAAAAGCTCTCTGAGACCAAAATGCTATAGGGTCCATATGGTGTAAAGAAAAAAAAAAAAATCCCCAAAGCTCACAGACATCGTCTAGATCAGAAGTGTTCATATGGAAATCATACGATAATCTACACATGAAAAACAGTAGCTTCAAAGAGGCCAAGAATAATCCTGCCCCTCCTGTGAAATTAATCTTGATAGCAAACAAAAGATGTGGGTAAGAACCTGAAGAAGTGTAACTTTGTCCAATTTAGGAAGAAACCCTACAGTAACATCAGGACCTCCAGCACTATCTTCTACATAATTTAGATCTGCCATCAGAAACTTTCATAGTTAACATAATCGCAAGCGAACGTGAGTGCAGATTCATTTTGATATTATATTAGAGGTAGAAAGTACCAAGGAGCGATGTTGTATTAAGATACCCAGCACTGCATGATGTAACCAGATCACGCATTGGAATGCCAGCATCAGCTAGAGCCAATGTAGCTGCATTAATGCATGCAGATCTAGTTCCTGCAGAGCAAAAAGTTCAAAACTTGTTTATACATTCTCACAGACAGAAATCAGAATACATCAAATCCTCACATAAAATCACATTAGCATCATAACCTCAGCAAATATGAAATTGCAAGGGCACAAAAAATCATATCTGTTATCAACATTTTAACTTTCATGGTAATCAGCTACAGACTACAGAAAGTCCCCCTTTTTCCTAGTTGGAGAGGGGGGTGGGGGGAGTGAAAACATCTGAACGTAAGGGCATTTGTAGTTCAGTTACTATAATGTAGCATCTTTTGGATACTTCTTACAAAGAGAGTTCACAATCACGAAGCATATGTTATTGGATTTCAACAATCATGTCCTTGAAAGAGTTGAATACTTAACCGAGTTTTTTGGGATCAAGATAGACAAAGGAGAGAATGAGGAGCAGATGGAAAGCAATCCATTAAAATTTATTTTTACATTTACATTCTAATGACTTTTGCACTTTGTTGGCGAGAAATAGAAATCCAGAAACTATATAAATGCTGGAACCATAGTTACCTCCATCAGCTTGGAGAACTTGGACAAAAATGTCAATCTGCAACGATTTAAATTGGTCATTGTAAAAGGTCAATAAATGAAAAAATATAAGGCAGTACCAAGTTCATATAAGCTTGTTAGTCATTTGCTACCTGGGAACGAGGCATTAGGTTTGTCATTATGCAAGCCTCCATAGTTTGCCGAATAACCATCGATATTTCAGTTGACCGCCTAACAAGTAGTAAATATTAAATAAGCATTTTTAAAACTAATAGCAATTGTCGTTAAAAGGATTCATGGGTGTCTACAAGAGAATGGTATAGCACTCTTGATGATTGTATAAGAGATAGATTCGAATCGCCGAAATCATAATTTAATCACTTCATGTAACGCCGAAGGGTGGTTATCAATTACAATTTCAAAAAGCTCACTATAAAGACTTGTATTGTGGTCAGATTGGGAAGTAACCGTAGTATTAGTTAGTTTTGTTGGATTCAATAGCTCACATTCTACTTCTTGCATGGAAGCACAAGAACCGAAGAACTTAAGTGAATGAAATGAAGGACGATAAGATTTAACACGGAGTAAGAGATAAATAAAACTAGCACAGGATAATGTTAAGAAATACTGAAAGAGTGTAACTGTGTAAGGACAGTCATTCTAATTCAGACAATTGAATTAAGAACAGAAAGTAATAGTAGTCAGCCAGAATCGTGTCCAGCTCCTCTGAGTCCCCCACTCTTTCAATTACCTTTGAAAGCCTCGGAAAATGTTAAAAGATAGGGGAAGATGACAGAGGGATATGTAATAAATAGATTATTGATCTGCAGACTGCAGTAGGATTTAACAACAAAGAACAACGAAAAAAAATTCAAAAACAAATTATGCTGAAACTTCAACAAAAAGCAAGGATATCCTAGTATGGCTATGTATAGTTTCTAGGAACTTGCAGTTACAATAGAGTTCACAAGCTCATGCATCTAAGAATAGTATCTTTCAATATGTACGAGATTCACCTAAATATGAAGCAAGGAAAAGACAAACCTGTCTCCCTTTGGTTTTCTCACACGATCTCCGGTACTGAAATTGGCCATGGTGTACTCACATCGAACCTGAATATATCATAAAACAAAAGTAAAACACTCGAATCCAGCAAATTCAACATAAACACAATGATGAAGTGTGTGAAGAGATTATTACCAATGCCTGGTCATTCATCTGCTGCGCTCTATTTTCAACCTAAAAGAGATCAACTTACATTAAACATCCATAAATTAGGCCAAAATTCAGCAATCTTCCAACCTCCAATGATCAATAACACAATCACTCACAAAAACACGAATACAATAAACTAACAGCAGCTAAATGATCCCATAACATGTATATTACTTTCAAAAATCAGCTAACAACTACGGTTAAAATTGAAATCAACTACAACAACTTGGTAACCCTAATCATAACTTAATTTTTCCGAAATTAATTTTAGAGTAACAAGAAAAATTATAATTAAGCAGAGAATTATCATAAATTGAATACCTAGAAATACAAATTGCAATTAACACATACATTATAATTCAATTAACTTGAAAAAAGGAGAGAAGAGTACCTCTCTAGGACCATAAACGGCAGCAATGACTTTGGTGTTGCCCATTTCGAAAACAGCTGAACTAAATTCAATTACAAGTTCAACAATTTCATTAAATTTCAGCAATTCCAAAAAATCAATTGTAAAAATAAAAAAATTACCCGTCAGCTTTAGACACAACGCCAATCTGAGCTCGAAGTTGCCTCATCTCCAAAGGACGACGACCGTCTAAGCGGAGACCTTCTGGGCTGATGAACTCCATTTTTGCTGCTACTCTTCTCTTTTTTCTAAGGAGTAGTACTACACTATTATTGTTTGGCTGTTGCAGACTCTACTCAACTAGAGAGGAGAGAGAACTAAAAAAAATTGAAGGAAAATTAAGGCAAGGGTTCAACAATTTTGCTTAATTACTCATCACTGGCCCAATTAGCCCACCAATGTCCCCATTACTTCACCGCCGAACACATCTCTAACTCTCAATTTAGATGACTTGGTTGGCCAGTTGGGTCCGATTAAGTCAATTCGAGTTTAGTTTACCTTTGAGTGATGCTAAATTGTTGTCATGTTGTGTATGTACAAGTCGAAATTTCGAGTTAATTTCAGATCAAGTCAAATCAGGTCGAGTCGGGTTGGGTTGGATCACTTTTTGACACCTCTGATATATTTCTATACCTAATTACTTTACCTAAAGATCCAGATTGAAACGCGAACACTATTCAAATCACATAACTTGAAGTTGACTTAACTCAAGTACTCAATACAACCCCCTCTAACCTTAGAAATTAGAATAAATATATATAATAATAAAATATGACTCGTTTATTTCATCTGAATAAACTTATGAGTAAAATAATAGAATATGACCTGACTCAAGCTAAAAGTTCTGTAATCGACTAATAACCCTCAAAGAAACACCCACCAAAGACAATATTCTTATACTCAATGATTTGGAATTTGGATGACGTGAATGTACTCATGTCTATATAATAGGGGATTTGTTAAACATCGCCCGCGTTTTTCTACATAAAGCCCACATTTTTTAAAAATGTTGACATTATTGCCCTTGTTTTAATTTTTACCGAAAATAAAATTTTTCACTCATAAAAAATGTGGAGCAGGACTGGATCGCCGAGTGAAACCGAAGAGCCCTCAACGTCGGGTAGATGCACCGGAGAGACGCCGTTGACGCCGGAAAAGGAGGTACGATGCCATCTAAAACCACGAATTGGCGGCTGGCGTCCTGCCGGGACGCCGTGACCGTAGTGGTGGCGCCTAGCCAGGACGCCGCCACCGTAACTCTGGCGCCTGGCCAGGACGCCGCCACCGTGGCCGTGGCGTCTGGCCAAGAAGCCGCCGCCACGGTGGCGGCGTCCTGGCCAGGCGCCACCGCCACGGTGGCGGCGTCCTGGCTAGACGCCACCGCCACGGTGGCGGCGTCCTGGCTAGGCGCCACCACTATTTTTTTTTTTTTTTTTTTAATTTAATTTAAAATTTGTTTATTTTTTTTTTTTTGTGTTACAATTTTTTTCTTTTTTTTTTCTTTTTTTTTTTGTTTTGTTTTTAATTGTTTTAATTTGTTTTTGTTTTTAATTTATTTATTTTTTATTTTTTTTTTTACAATTTTTTTCGTTTTATGTTTTTTTTTTGTTTTTTTTTTTTGGTTTATTTTTATTTATTTAATCTAAAGTTTTGTTTATGTTTTTTATTTTTGTGTTTTGTTTTTTTTTTTTTTTTTGAATACTTTTTGTTTATTTCTTTGTTTGTTGTTTATAATTTATTATTGTTTTTGCTTTTGTGCTAATGTTGTGTCAAATGTATTAATTTAATCTACTCTTATGTGATTATATTTATATGTTATTGTTGCAGGATTATGGTGGAGACGGAAATGATTATAGTGGGATTTTTGTACACGATGGTCTGTTCGAAGATGCTCAACAAGCGGTTGATTGGGCGAAACAGGTTGCAATTAGATCAGGTTTTTGTTTAGTAGTAGCAACTCATAAATCTCAACGGGATGGTAGAATGGATCGCATTTTGAGATGCGACCGTTATCGCAAAAGGGAGGAACGAGATTTCAGTCAAGCGATTCGGTTTGATACAAAGCGGAAAGGTTGTGGGTGTCAGTTCAGAGTAAAGGTTCGACAACAGCAAAGGGGTGACGGTTGGGAAGTGAAGAGTTACGGTAAATGGGGGTATCACAACCATGAGATGATCGCATATGAAGTGGGTCATCGACAGTTAAGTGGCCTAAGTCCTGCTGCGAAACTAATTGTAAAAGAAATGAGTGATGCTCAAGTGAAGCCTGCTAAAATATTAGCATCTGTGTTGGAGAAATTTCCTGAAGACCAGCCAAACCGAAGACACATCTACAACGTCAGACATAAATTGAGGTTTGAACGGTCAGAGGGAAGGAACCCTATACAGCAGCTTCTACACCAGGCACAAGCACGTGGTTACCTGTACTGGTTTGAATCTGATGAAGACACATCGGAGGTGACTCATTTGTTCCTTGTGCATCCTGATTGTGCTGATATGATTTCGTCTTGGCCATCTGTGATTCTGATCGATTCAACGTACAAGACAAACAAGTATAAGTTTCCACTGGTTGAGATGGTTGGGATGACTCCAACGAACCAGAACTTTTTGATTGGTTATGCAGTTATGAAGGATGAGACGGTTGCGAGTTACCGTTGGGTGTTGGAGAAGTTGAGAAATTACATCGGCCCAAGTGTTCAGCCATCGGCCATCGTCAGCGATTGTGAGGGAGGTCTCTTTGCCCCTATAGCGGAGCTGTTTCCGGAGTCGAGCCATTTACTGTGCACATGGCACATCAACAAATGCGTGAAAGTCAAAGCCTACAACCTTTTCAACAAGAACTTAGATTCAGCAGAGAGATTGGTAAATGGTAAGTGGCGGAAGATCCTGCAAGCTACCACGGAGGCAGAGTACGACCGAGCCTTGGATAACTTCAAGGATGCATACCAATGGTGCCCGGCAATCGTAGACTATGTGATGCAGCAGTGGGTGCCTCAGAGGGAAAAGTTTGTCAAATATTGGACAAACCAAGTTCTTCATTTTGGAAACACTACTACATGTAGAGTTGAGAGCGCTCATAGAGCTCTGAAGGACTGGATTGATTCTTCCACCTCTGCTCTGGATACACTGTTCGAGAGAATAAACAAGGCTATTGATACTCAGAGGAACGGCATCAAGAACTCTCTCGAGGACTCCAGACGGCGACATGGCACGATGTATAGCCATTTCATATTTAAGATTCTCCATGGTCGTGTGTCACACTACTGCTTGGGGTTGATTCTGAGCGAGCACACCAGGATGAGGGAGTTGGGTGATGAAGTGGCTATTCGGTGCGGATGTGCTATATCGGTGACTCATGGACTACCTTGTGCATGCACCATTCACCGCGTAATTACGCAAGATAGGGCGTCGTTACATGTTGATCAGGTTCATCCATTCTGGCGGACGCTCGTTATCGGAGAGCATGCTGTTCCACAGACAGTCAACCGTGAACAGGAGGAGTTGGAGCAGTTTCGTTCGATGTTTGACCAAGTGTCCTCCAGCCACCCTTCAGTCATTCGTAGTGCTACCCACGTACTTCATGACATGTTCAACTCGTCGTGCTTGGATCATGAGGAACCTGAGGGGGTCGAGCGACCACGGGGCCGACAACCACGGCGGGAAAGGAGTGCGTTTGAGTACATTCGTGGTCGTGGTCGTGGTCGTGGCCGTGGTCGTACATCGTCATCAAGTGGTAGTCAAACATCTTCGTCGGTGAATATGCCCGGCACCGGTACGGTACTTTAGTTTAATTTACTTTTTAGAGTGTTTGTTTAGTTTTCTGCTAACTTGTTAATTGTGTTTTTTGATGTGTGCAACAGGCAGAATGGACATTGAACATTTTCCATATAAAGACAGGATCCCTAACATCATGATGCCGTTCCTGGACGGGTGGAATGATGTGGTTGCAGATGGTAACTGTGGATTTCGGGTTGTGGCTGATGTGTTTCAGATGGGTGAAGACAACTACGGTTTAGTGCGTCAGTTGATGTACAGTGAAATCGCCTCAAACCGAGCTGTTTATCGCCACGTGTACGGACAGGACTTGGATAGGTCTCTGCAGTGTACCAAGTGCCGCTGTGTACAGCGCAGCCCTATCCACCGCCAACAGCTCCGCCAATAAATCTGCCTGATCCGCATCTGTGACAACAGATGCTCGGTTTCCCTCTACGGGAATCCCAAGGATGGCCTCGACGTCATGCAACATGATCGTCATCTCACCGAACGGAAGGTGGAAAGAGTTCGTGTCCGGCTGCCATCGCTCAACGAAAGCCGTGATCAGCGTCGAGTCAATCCTCTCATGCATGGTGGCAGGAAGGTGGCTCACTCTAGTGGCCCTCAATCGGCCGACCATCTCGCTCTCCTCCGGCCAAGCCTCAGCCCAACTACACAAGAAGTTACAAGTCCTCTCCCGGGTTTGGCATTTCAAAATGCCGCTATCCAAAGCCCGCTCTTGGTCCTCCCAAATACGGGTAGCGATGTGTCCTAGAAAGCTAGGAATCACACTCCCGTCTATAGGTCCCCCAGCCACCTCGCCCCTCACCACCCAAGAATCATTAACGGCCCTCGACCGTTTTCTGCTAACCGCAGACACAGTGGACGCAGATGATGTGCCAGATCTACTAACAAATCTACCATCTCTACCCTTACGCACGTCTACCCTACGCGTCTCATACACATCATCAAGCCTCTGACTGAATGGACCGTAATCATCATATGGTCCACTCTGATCGTCCACATCCTCATCTGCATCCTCCTCCTCCTCCTCCTCATCACCATCATCATCTTCATCATCCTCAGAATAGTGCACCCGTTCTCTACGAGCCGAGGCCGAAATACCACGGGATCTAACGTGTCTGGGCCCCGAGCTCTCCATTGAGTTCATCGTACTTCTCATAATGTCCATACTCTTCCCAGCCCCAGAACGAAAATACGATGCCTAACACAAAATAACAACACATGTAATATGCAATATAAACATGTAATATAAACATAAAAAAAGTAATTAAAATAAATAAATAAAACAATATACATATGATGGAAAATAAATTAAAAACATTACAAAATATTAACAACCTAAAAATAAAAAAATTAATAACCTAATAAATAAATAAATAAAAAATTGGAAAAAACAAAGCAAAAAAAAAAATTACCCAAAAAAAACAAATTGGAAAAAACAAAGTGAAAAATATAAAATTATAAAAACTTAAAAAAAGAAGAACATCAAAATTTTAAAAAAAATTTATAACAAAAAAAAGGGAACATAAAATTTTTTTTAAGTAAAAAAACTAATTCAAAAAAAAAAAAAACAAGAACAATAAACAAGAACATAAAATTAAAAAAAAGAAAAACAAATTTAAAAAAAAATCAAAAAAAAAATAATTATTTTCGAAAATTAAATTTCAAATTTAAAACCAAAAAAAAATTAAATAAAAAAAATAAAAAGGCGGCGGCGCCTAGGCCAGACGCCGTGACGGTGGCGGCGGCGTCTAGCCCAGACGCCACTACCACGGCGGCGGCGCCTAGGCCAGACGTCGATGCCGTGGTTCTGGCGCCTGGGCCAGACGCCACCGCCACCGTCACGGCGTCTGGCCTAGGCGCCGCCGCCGTGGTAGTGGCGTCTGGGCTAGACGCCGCCGCCGTGGTGGTGGCGTCTGGCCTAGGCGCCGCCACCGCCTCCGACCTTTTTTTTTTTTAATTTTTAAACACAAAATTAATAAAAAATACCTTCTCGCCGGAAAACCGCTGTCCACCCGCCGCATGTGCCGCCACTTCCTTGCCGGGCCGCCTCGACATCGCTCGGAAAGTTTTTTAGAGAGAGAAAGTGGAAGTAGAGAATTGAGAGAAGAAATTGTGTTTTTTACTTTGAGGGCAAAAGTGACAATTCACTCTAATTTTGTGGGCTTTATGTGGAGATTCGCGGGCGATGATTAGCAACTGAGTATAATAGAGGGATAAGGAATTCGACGGCTAGTAAAATACTTTTAGTAAAAAACATACTTCGTATTAAAAAATCAAGGATTAGAGTCCATGCATGGGTACATTCACAAATTATAAAATATCATTTTCTTATTTATTTTTTTTAGTTTTTTTTTTCCTTTCACGGGAAATTGGGTACGTAGCTTTAGGATTTGTCACTGCTATCATCTATCTAAAATTGATACATATCTAAATTAAAAGGATACACATTCATTTTTTTTTCAATTTTACTTTGTCAAGTACTGTAATATTCAGCTGGAGACTAGAACGACTTAAGATAGATAATAATCATAATACCCAAGATGGGAAGAAGCTTTCATCCAAACCAAATTACAAGTACAATTGATCCAACCTTGTCGGCAACCATCTACAATTACTTAATTCACAATTAAAGTTGCAAAAATCAATGTCATAATATCAAGAATATTTACCATTGATCTAGAAAGGATAACCTTATGAACATATCTTAATAATAATTAATTTAACAATCACCTTTATTAATTTTTTGACGGGTTCTAATTCAATAAACATAGTACATTATATGAATATCACATAATCTTATAAAATAATCACCTTCATGATAATGATCGATGATTGATGATCTAAAATGTGGCCTCCATTAACTTAGAAGAAATAATAATGTAAATTTATTTTCGGAGTAAATAAATATGTTACAATGTAGCCTGCAAAAATATGCTAACCACGTATTGAAATAATTCTCTTACTTTCGTTCATATTTTATACGCTTTGTTAATTTAGAGTTATTGGAAGAAGCACACTATAAAATAAGCTATTTAGTTGAATATAACGTGTGATTAATTATAATTAATTAATTTGGAGGCCCGCTTATTACTTCGGTTCTGAGCATGTATGGGGTGGTCAATCGCACAGGGCCTTTAAGTGAAACTAATATAAAAAGGCCCAAATTTTTAAAATTTACTTATACAAAGTAAAGGGAAAACTTGTTAATCAATAATCTATTCTTCAGAGAGAGTGAGAGATAACTCAATTGGTTAGAACTTCCTTCCCGATTCCAGGAGAACTTAGGATCGATTCTCACCCCCGCCCTTGTGGCTCTCAAAACACCAAAAAAAAAAAAAAAAAAAAAAAAAACTATTCTTCAATTTTATCATAAAGTTAATTATTTAATAAAATATTTTTCCTTAAAGAAATGATTTTAGAGCCCAATTTAACAAAATTACATCAGGCCATTTTCATTATTAACATTTGTAGACTCACCTCTGGTCATATGTTGAAGTGTCACCTACCGACATGTCCAACAGTTCAAGGCTCTTCGTTCTGCTAATTTTACTGAATTACAACTTAAAAGTACTCTTTTACTAACGATTAACTTCGATTTCATTGAATAATATTAGATGTATGTAGTACTTTTTAATTTGAAACATCATGATTTATTGGGTTGAGATTTTGATTGGAGTATGTATGATTTCGTATTCAAAGGAAGCTACCAATGTCACTAGTCTTTTTCCATAAATTGGTATTCAAAAAAAAAAAAAAAAAAAAAAAAAACACTCAATACTAAAAGTCTAAAATGAACTTTCAAATGTGCGCAACATATAATAACATTAGATTCAAATAAACTTGAAATAAGAATAATGTATCCCTTGCATTTTAAATAATACTCCAATTATTGCATTCAGTTATCACAGACAATAATAATTATGTACTTAATTCACAAAGTTATATGTAAGGCCCCGTTCACTTTACCTTAATTTTGTCGAATTGAAATTATTTTTATTGAACTTATTTTAATTGAACAAAACTTATTTTTACTAATTTAAATATTATTTCTACTGAACTATATATATGTGTGTGTGTGTATAAGGTAAAATAATCTATTTTTGTAATTTATATAGTTGGCATATATAACGATAATATATTATGCCAACCATATAAATTTACATATATAATATTGTATGTAAAAATGGTTGGCCCATAACGATAATGTATATGGACAATTTAAGAGTTTTGCAAAGAATTATCATATATAAAAAATGGTTGGCCTATAACGATAATGTATATGATTGTCAAATTAAATACTAGTATATCAACTTTGACATGCATGCATATGACTATTAAAATATATAGACCTTGTTACAAATAGTTGATCGTTAAAATAGTTTTGAAAGCAGCGAGTTGGAGTTAACGATCTCAAACCCAAAGACTTTAGCACAATTTATGACATGCATGAAAAAAATCTAGTTAATTAAATTTTTTGGTTTGAATTGTCAGTCAATTTTTTACTACGTATACGTTGGTTAGCTGTGTGGAATTTACAAATAATTATAGCAAATATTGGTAGTTTGATTGATCATATAAAGGCATATGATGTTTAAGCAAAAGAAATATAACAACATATTGGTAGTATTGTATGGTTCATGTTGATGTAAATATAATCATATATGAATATCATATTTCAATATCTTATTGAATTTATCGTAAATGGTTAGGTATCCTATCACGATGAATTTTGTTACCCTTTTATAAAATGTAGTAGTTGTATTTACCAAATATAACCGACTACAATATTATCAATAAGACATAATATTTTATACTTGACAAAAACAAAAAAAAAAGATATTTTATTTTATAACGATACAATATGTGATAAAAGTGTAAACAAAAGTGATGCATAAAAAAATATATGTGAAGTATAAAAAAAAATCTTGTACGACAATATTTTGCAATTTATGAAAAAATAATTTACATAAAAAAATCCTAGTAAAAAAAAAAGCATCAATGTACATGAACTTAAATTAATTTTGCTGATATTATTTTTGCTGAACTGAAATTATTTTTACTAAACTGAAATTATTTTTGCTGAACTGAAATTATTTTTACTGAACTTATTTTTACTGAATTTAAATTATATTTACCGAATTTAAATTATTTTTGCTGAACTGAAATAATTTTTACTTAATATTATTTATTTAAGGTGAAGTGAACAGAGCCTAAGCTTAATTCAATACCACCAATTATTGTTGATTAATAAATGTATAATAAAGACAGGTTTGATTTGTTCACCTTACTTTCACTTATTTCAAGAAAAATAATTTCAAGTAAAGTAGGTGCAAAAGTATAAGTTCGGTTAAGAGTTGATGGTTAAAGTTGTCTAACTTCAATTTACAACTAAAATAAATTACAATAAGCTTTGATAAGTTTAGGTAAAATAAACAAAAAAATTATACAAGCCAATTCATGGTAAAAGAGAATTTTTTTTTTTTTTCCTAAGAAAAGTTACGTATTTATATTCCAATTCACGTATTTATATTTATACATAATAAAAAAAAATCCCAAAAGGCATAAAAAAATAAATAAAAATAATAAAAATAAAAATAAAAATAAAAATAAAAACAGAAATAAGATTATTACAAGTATATTTGACATAAAAATGAAATCAAATATTTTGTAAAAAAAAAAAAATTGAAATGAAATATTGCATGCTCGCCAACTCGTCCAGCTAGTAACAGATTTCCATTCCCCTCAAATTTATAATCCCCCTACGATATCCTCGCTCTTTTGTTCCCCCTCTTTTTCTCATTATTCTCCCTACATCCTTCTATTCCCATTTTCTCTCTTCCTTCCTACATTCTTCATCCATTCTTAATTACAAACCAATAATTCATCATCCATTTTAATCTTAATTATCTACAACATATTATTGATTACAATAATTCAAACAATAAATGGCAGATGTACCATTAAAGAAACCACCTGGATTCAAAGACTCATCAACACCGCCTCCGAGAGTCGCTCCTCCAAGAAAACCTCCCGTTCCATCATACTACCAACCTAAGAGAAAACGAAGTAACTGTTGTTGTCGTTGCTTTTGTTGCTTCCTTTGCATCCTCCTCCTCGTCCTCTTCATCCTCGTCGCTTTTTTCGGTATCTTTTACGCGTGGTACCAACCCAAACTCCCGGTCTTCCGGTTCCGTCCCATTGAATTTGACCGGTTTAACGTATCGGTTAAACCGGACGGAACCGCGGTGTTGGACTCCCGGATTATTATCCGTGTTGAGGTTAAAAACCCTAATAGTAAAATGAAAATTTACTATGGTGAAACTGAGGTGAGTTTGACGGCTGATCAAGAGACCGAGTTGGGGTCTGCGACCGTGGGTGCGTTTAAACAGCCTGCGAATAATGTTACGTTGTTGAAATTCACCGCGGTGGTGGCGAAAGGGGTGGTGGATTCGACGACGGGGAAGAAGTTGAAAGATAGGGTGAAAAGTGAGCAGGTGGTGGTAAATGCCGCGGTAAAAACTAAGGTTGGTATTGGAGTGTTTAAGACTAAAATTGGGATGCTTCCGGTGAATGTTAATTGTGGTGATGTTTCTTTGAAGCAACTCAATGATGGCAAAACTTCTCCTACATGTTCTTTCAATACCTTGAGATGGTAAAGATAAATTCATTTTATTTTTGCAAATGTGTTTTTTTTTTTTTAAATAAATAAGTATGTATTATTGAATAGATTTAAATAATCACAATCATCATTTTATCAAGGATTAATAATAATTTGAGATTGTAGAATTAAATTAATAGAAAAAAAAATTCTGACAAAAAAATTAATAGAAATTAAAGGTCACGTAGAATGCAAATATAAAAAAATGCTCCGCATATGTTTTATATGAAACGTCTTTAGCACATTTACAATTCGGGTTGATTTTAAATTTTTTTTCCCGACGTCAAATAAAACTCGTTATGTTTTATCAAATGCTAATTACTCTTTAAAATTCTGTGTCATGAGCTAGAAGTCAATGGTTTAAATATACTTTTTTCGGAACTTGCAATATGAAAAGGAGAAAATGACAAATCTCAACTTGTTTGGTCATGAATTTTTGGAAATTTATAACATGGATTAGTACTAATTGCGACATGATATGTTGGAGAACTTAGACCAATACTCCGTATTACCAAATAAAAAGTACAAGGAGGAAAAAAAACTCTAAAATATCGATCAATTTTACACCCTTCAATATGTCATGTGAAATTGTGAATGAACTTATACAAATAGACAACTAACTCATTGATTTGGTTTTATTATTGCAGGATCAACATAAAGTCATAAAGTAGCAATTTTTCAACAACATTTTATAGCACAAACCCAAATATTATTCGTATTGTTGGATCCACACAAATTAATAGCGTCTGACAAGATCAAATTTTTAAATCTTTTTTTTTTTTTTGGTTAATATATGTCATAAAAGGTTAGCATTTTTTCATAATTATTTGTGATTTATTACTTTGTTAAGAGATGATATTGATCTATCCTTTGAAAATCAATGTATGAGATTGGTCTTGCTACAATTATTAGTCAAATACTTATGCTGTCAAAATAATATTATTATCATTTTCATATTAATACGAAGTAATATTTGGACAGCTCACCGTGTAACATATCAAATCAAAATGAGCCAATTTTGATCCCTTTTTTACGTTTCCTAGCTATACTTAGATGTGATATGATATTAATCGATTTATCTATTTCCTGCATAAAATTACATAGATCAAGATTTTGGGAAAAGGCTATTTGCTATTTTGCTTTGTGCTTTATCTTTTCCCATCTATGAGATTTAGGCAAAGCCATAAATCAGTAAATGTGACATTCCCAACGTGTCACCATAATTTAACAAAGTGTTGGTATGCTTGAATTAGTACAGTACGTACATTAGATATGTACACCAAGAGTTACAGAATAATGTGGGATTCCTTGTCATCAAGTGGGTACTTCTTGAAATAGAATTAATAATTATGCTGAAAAAAAACTTGTATAATAATGTAGTATATCACCGCACGTATTATTGAAAATAAATAAGATTACAACATTCACAAGGTAGTACATGGAATATAAAGTGTTTCTAAAATTTGCTATAAAAATATTCTGAGAGTACTCGTGTTGATTTATATGTATGAATATTGATTACAGGTATACAGTATAAGTCCTTAACGCCTTTTTAAAACTTTATTTATGAAATCAATTGACATTAATATGTATGTACGTCTAATTTGTCCTATGTATGTACGTCCAATTTGTCCTAAAAATAATGCAGATAAAACTATTACCCTATTACTTTTTCCCTTTTTTAAGACTTTTGTTTGTATTTTTTCAAATTAAATCTAATCTAATCTAATCTAATCTAATATATATAAATAAAATAGGCATTTTTGGAGAGCATTCGGAGCGCCACGTGAGAAATATACTTATTTCGACCAATAAGAAGAAAGATTTGTATTTTATTTTTGAATTAAATAATCATGCCGCCACCTAGATAAAAGTAACGAATTAGATTTGATATATTTAAAATTTTAAAATTTATATTTGTAATTATTAGTTACATTGTATTTATTTAGGATACTTAACGATTATTTATTTATGTAATGACATACAATTAGATGTTGTATACTTAATATATGGATGGCTTTGGTTATTTTTGGAGATGATGAAAAAATTCCAATGCATAGATTTGATTTTATATCGAAATAATTTTTCATTTATTGGTAAATATATTGATTTATTTATATAAATGTAAAGATTTAATTTATATCAATTTCAGTTTGGCTAACATTTCACGGTTCAGTTTATCAATTGATGTAGTAGGTTGGTTGTGGACGAGGTTGGTGATTCTATCGAAATAAAAGATATGGTAAAACAATTTAAATTATTAAAAATTTATCATTTCACATTAAAGATTTTATATAACTGAAAAAATATCATATTTACAATTTATTTATATTTAACAAATTCATTATAAATTATAGTAAAAAAAAAATATATTAAACTCTTGTAATTTTGTCTGAAATTATTAAATACAATAAATCAAATAATTAAAAATCTTAGAAGAAAAAACCGTGCATCGCACGGGCTTCCATCTAGTACATTATAAATCTAATATCATATCACTAATAAATAAAGCCGGTCTTGCAGCCAAGCCACGAGATAGCGACACTTGGTGTTTCGGGGTTTCCTGATGTCCTGCGGGAGAGTTACAATTTCGAGACTGGAACCGGACGCCTGTACCTGCAAAACAAACGGATGCTCCGGATGATTGGAGATCCGCCTCCAACGGTCAAGTTAGTACTTGATTAAAGAGTAATTAATGCGGAAATGTAATTTAGTCTCTCTAGGTGAGAGTGTTAAATGTGCGTAAAAAATTCCCCCTTAATGAGGATTAATGGGCATATTTATATTCCTTGGGATGCGTGCCAATACTAGGTTTAGGTTAAACCTAAGGCTGACTGGGCTTCCCAAAGATTGGGCCTTGTTGGCTGATTTATCTTTTTGGCATGAATGGACACGTGTCGTGTCGCAATTGGTCCACGAAGGACGAATATATGGTTGACACGTGGCAGGCTCCTATTGGCCCATGTGCCGGACACATGGCGGTACCTGACTGGTCCACTTGTCAGATGGTGATTGGTGGATAAAAATCCCCTAATCATTTGCCCCTCACAGGTGGCACGTGACTGGTCACGTGTGACCTGTGACAGGTGTCACACCGTAACAGGCGACGACCTGCTACAGGTGTCACTCGGTGAAAGGCTGAGAGGTTCTCCCGCCCAAATTTTGAATTTGGGAGTGACCCTTCGCCTTCTCATTTTCGCCTATATAAGGGTGTGTTGACTTCAGTCATTTTCACACTTGAGAACTTTTGAAGAGAGCATTCGGACCCCTGAACTTGCTCTGACATTCCGGACTCTTTCTGCCTACCGCCTGATCTGACAAGCCGGCTGCTCAGAATTTTTCAGAACTTCGTCAATTTCACTCGTTCAGGTAACCGCCAGTTCTCTCACTCTTTTAACTTTTTATTTTTTCTTTTTGAAATGGAACCACGGAAGCACACGACACGACCTAGGTTAGTGATCAGCCGGTCACCGGGACGGCTGAATCTAGGACTAGGAGTGCCGCCTGCCCTTTTCCGAACCAATCTTTGCCCTTTATACAAAGTCCGACTGTCTCTGTGTCTATGCAGAACATAATGGCCGGAACAAAAAGAACTGCTAGGATCACAAACTCAGACGGCTCCTCCTACCAGGTGCCGATTAGTGAGACATCTGACCAGGCGCCAGATGCTGAAGTAAACCAAGGCGGCTTGACGGCCGACAGCTCTGAGGGAGGGGTCAAGGTGGTCCCTTCCCATTTTACAGTTGACATGTCTAACTTTTCTCCCGCTCCTATCGAAGGAGAGGAGGCGGGCCCCTCTGGGAGAGGAGAGGAGTCGTCCTCTTCGGATTCGTCAGAGGACGAGTCCGAGTCTAGTTCTTCTGGTCATACTTCTCTAGACACAGAAGAGAAAAACAACCGCCTACAAGAGGCGAGGCTTTCTCACGCAGTTGAGAAGGGGGACAATTGGGCGGAGCCGTCCGCCTCTTACAGAGAGCAAAATACCCCTTACTACTGCACCGTCCCCAAAGGCCGGATCAAGGCCATGCAAGAGAAAGTGGGGAGCTTTATTGCGAACCACACAATGGGCCCCGACTTTTTAGTTTTTGTGCCGGATCTAGAAGACACAGTCGTCTGGCCGGCTGGTACTAGTTATGATAGCGCCTGCTTTGGCTGCTACGAGGCGGCCATCAGGGCTGGTCTGCGCTTCCCATTACATCCGGCTATTCACCGGATCTTAGATGGGTATGAGTTGGGGTTATGGCAGTTAGCCCCAAACTCCTGGTTCAACGTTCTCGGCTATGTGGCCGGGTGCAAACTGCACGGGGTGGAGCCAAACTTCGAGGCTTTCGCCCACATGAATTACCTCAGCCGGACCCCTAAGGCAGGCGGTACCGGCTGGTATCAATTGATGAGCCACAGAGGCTACCTCATGACAAGAGGTAAAGAAAATAAATGGAAGGATTGGCGAAGCATCTTCCTTATCATTGAAAGTTCAGACACAGAGCTGAACAAGCGCTTCAACAGGTGGAACAGGGATCTGCCTCTTCTTGCAGGCGGCCGTAGCATGCCGCCTGTTCCTCCAAAGGCTAAGAGAGAGATTCTGGACAAAGGACTCTTCAAAGTAGAGTCGAGGGTCGACTCTACTACAGGGGTGCGAGAGCAAGTACCCCTGCACTGCGTCCCGAGCTTCAAATGGCTCTATGACGAGTACTTTTTGGCCGCCTGTGGCCTCAGCAGTCGGTGTTCAAGAGGTAGCCGGCCTATCGAATACTCTCTTTTGCCATGCATTACTTGTTATAACTTTTATTAACTTTGGTTTTTGTCCTTGCAGTGGACGCCATGAGCAAGATCACCGCTTCCAAGACGGCGACGGCTATGTTGCGAGCCTCTATCTTGCAACAATCTCCAACTGACTCTCCCAACAAGGAGGCGCCTTTGGTAAGTTCCAAGCCTTTCACACACACTCCTTTTTGAAGTTGGGTTTACGCAGAGACTGACCGCGTGTTTTGTTGTTTTTTTTTTTTTTTAGACGGGCACTCCTAGAACTTCTTCTTCCCAACAGCCGGACTCCAAGGCCCGGAGAACGACTGTTGCGAGCTCTCCTGGCACGGCCAAGAAAAATGCGGCGACTGAGAAACAGTCGGCCACCCCCTCCCAAACTCCAATCAGGCCGCCTAGGAGTATGGACCTGTCCTTGTGAATTCAGACTTGCTTCCCTTTTACTAGGTCTAACATGCTTTTTTATGCTTGATACAGCCAACCCTCAGGAACCGGACCTGATCGAGGTGGCCAAGTCTATGATCAAAGTCGTCCCTCCGGCTGAGAGAGAGGCGGTCAGGGGTGTCGGCACCCTTGACCTAGACGGAATCGCAGGGGTCCTGGCTGAGGTATACTTAGCATACTCTTGTCGTTTAAACTCCAGAACGCCTGTTTTTTGTTTGAAAACTGACGCCTGTTTCCTTTTGATCAGGCTCTGCTCCGAGTGAACGACCTTCGCAAGTCGCTTGATAGGAAGACCAAAGAGGTAAAGGCTGCTAAAGCTATGGACGCCTCTGACTGTGATAAGGCAATGTTTCAAATTGCCCAAAATGAGATTTTGACAACTGATATTCTTTATTATCAGGCGCAGGCTACCTCTGCTATCCGGACTCAATTGGAGGCGGCCTAGAAGAGAAATAATGAGCTGGAGGCGACCATCAATAATCTCAAGGCCGAGCTGAGACCTCTTCGCCAAAAAATGACCACATACGACACCTTGGAGAAATCCTTGGAGCGCGTTAAAGAGCGCTTGGCGACTCAGCAGAAGAGTCTCACTGCGGAGCTCTCGGCAAAGGCCGAGCAGGAAAAGAAAGACTTGGTCCGAGAGATGATGGAAGACTCGGCTAAGTATCAAAACTCTGATATCCAGTTGCATACTATACCGACTGTTTTTTGCATGGCCGATAGTTGCAGACAGGTAAGAGGTAGTCACGCTGCCTATGCCCCTGGACAATTGGTTGTCTGTTTCCAGGCTAGGC